AATATTTATTTATTTCATTTAGGACATTTAAATAAGTTAGAATACGTTTTTGTCAACGAAATAGCTGTTTTGTAAAGAAAGAAAGTCATGTCCAATGTACCGTCTTCCCAATTCATTTTCTCTCCAAGATACTGTCTAACATACCGTCTAACATACCTCTCAGCAGTGCTAAGCCTCGCGCCCGCTTCGAAATTTTCGTTGGCGATAGCGTCGCTGGATTCTCACGTTGTCGCGCAAAAACTGCTGCAAACGCAAGCTGATACCATTAAGATTTCGTGGCGTAACCTCGGGCACGTAAAACACGGTGCAAACAAGCAGAATAATTGTCACGAGAAACTAGCGTCGCGTTGCTAAAGCCAGCAGCCATGTTGAGCTTTTTTTTTTTTTTTTCTTTCAAAAGGATCGCGATTGGTCCACGGAATCGTGACGTCATGAAAACGATTGGCTGGCGTTTCTCGGCGTAGGATTACATTTTCCTCTGAGAGGCATTTCCGGTTTTTTCTTAGCCGTTTTACTGAAAGAGGGCGAGAGAGAAAAGGGGAAAGGGCTACCGGCGCTTTCCCCCTTTCTGATTGGGTAGAAAGAGTGAAAGTCCCGGATGAGAGGCTTGGCCGGTGTTGGGTGTCTGCTGTGCTTCAACTTCGTTCGCGCTTTCTTTTCTGTTTTGAACTCGCAAACTTAATTAGAGTAACGGGCTTTGATGGCAACAGTTCCCCGGTCATCGGGACCCCATTGCTCGGTCATAGGGTGCACGAATAACGACAGAAAGCGTCGAATACTGTCCGAGGACCTATGTAGAATGCAATGAATCCGGCAAGGCGAGAGCGGCTGCAATGTCTTTAAGCTCCATCGCTTTCTACATGACCCCGGTCGTGGCGACAGTGGGTTGCGTTCGTAAACCGAAAAGACATTTCCTCAACACCATCTTCTCGACTGTGCTCGGAACAGCTTGTGAGTGGAGCGCGCACCGAACGCTGTAGCGCCGATGAACATGGGGTACGCTCGCAAGGTGCGTGCCAGTTTTCTCGTTATAATTGCTGTTTCAGCATGTAAAATTTTGTAACTGAATTTATCTTAATATTGATAATTTGCAGTTGTGACTGTCTCGATTTTATCATTTCCAACACTTAGTTGAAGGCTTATTTCCGCCGCCGGGTGAGGCTAGAAATTGTTGAAAAGGTAGTTCTATCGGTTTTCCTGAGTAGCGATCCCCTGTGCGATACCAGAGAGCCGGCAAAAGCGGTCCTTGGAGTGCCGCTGGTGGGTTTTTTCGGTTGTTTCCGTTGATTGGGCGCTTTGAAGCGCTGGATAGTCGCTCCAGGGTACGACTCGTGTGTTGCGATCTGCGTCTTCGAGCACAGTGTGTACGTTTTTTGTTCGAGTCATGGCATCCGCCAGTGCGGCAGCGGGGGGAACAGCGGTGGCGAACGTGTCAGTGATAGAAATTGGAGGTTAGTACTCAAAATATTGCATCAAATAGTAAAATAATTCGTGGCTGCTTTGCCGCTTTCTGCGGTTCGATATAAGCACATCTAGAACGTCTTCGTCGTTCATCCACAATGAAATCTGAGAACACGGACACGCAAGATAAAAGCAGCGCAGCAAAACGATATGTAGCAGCTCCGGGTGTTTACAAAAGTTAATTGAGGTTCCCGTTTCGTGTATCGCTTGTTCATTACTAAAAACGGCTGCCTTGAAATGGGCCTATTGCAAGCAAAAATTTATGAATGGTTCATCATTTCCAGTTATGCGGAAAGCGGTGGAGCTTCAAAAGATTGCAGCCGCACGTGCCTTGCCGAATTCCATGCAAGCTACGAGGTCCTTGGGCGGTATTCGACGCTTTCTGTCGTTATTCGTGCACCCTATGGCCGAGCAATGGTGTCCTGATGACCGGGGGACTGTTGCCATCGAAGCCCGTGGCTCTATTTAAGTTTGTGAGTCTAAAACAGGAAAGAAAGCGCGAAAGAAGTTGGGGCACAGCAGACACCCAACACCGGCCAAGCCTTTCATCCGGGACTTTTACTCTTTCTACACAATCAGAAAGGGGGAAAGTGCCGGTAGCCCTTTCCCCTTTTCTCTCTCGCTCTCAAAATGGCGCTACCCACGATAAAACGGTCTATAGATAAAGACTCACAGGGTTTAATTGCGCTTTTTCCTGCGTGCAAATAAAAAAATAAAAAAAATAGGGAAAACTGTGTCAGATTGGCCGGTCTCTTTGGCGAAAAGTAAATCCGGTTGCTGTACATTTTTTACTATACAAAGTTCGTACTGGTGTAGGCCTTTAGCGACCATGAGTGGAAGTCTAAAATAATAAATAAAACGTGCTCACCTGCCGCAATACACGCAGTAGTTGAGGGTAGTACTGCCGGCTGACTCAACTGCTATTTTAGTAACGGAAAAAAGATATGCTAGTTGATCATTTAGCAAAATAGAACAACAGAGAGCTATAGGCTGATTTTGGAGTAGCCACAACTATTCCAAGAACGCGAACCACTTCACAACGGCGGCCACGAGCGAGAGTTCGATGTTCGGTAGAGCCCGCCGATACAGCCCAAAGATGGAGAACGGCAACCTCCCGGTTTGTCGTCTGCTAGCGGAGTCGGGCGCGTGCCCTCTCTCTCGTTTTACCCCGCCGAACCCGCTGAACTTCCCGGATGTGTGGAGAGGGCGCTGCGGTCGAACAAAATGGTGCCGCCCAGAGAGCGCTAAATGGAATGGTCTATACTCGGTGACAAAAAAAAAAAAAAAAAAAAAAAAAAAAAAAAAAAACACGAACACGAGGGGCCCTACATCCAGGACACTGAACAAGGAGGTTGATCAGGTGTATCCCCGAAACTGGCACTTGGCAAAATTCGCAGTCTTCAGCCGGCAAAAATTCTATAGTATATTGTTGTTTTGTTTTCTTTTTTCAATTCAAATAATACTGTTTTGAATCAGATGGATGTTTTGACTCTGATGGATGTTCTGACTCGGTGGGTGTTTTGACTCAGATGGATGTTTCGACTTTGATGGATGTTCTGACTCGATGGATATTTTGACTCGATGGATGTTTAGACACGGATGGATGTTCTGACTCGATGGATGTTTTGACTCGATGGATGTTTCGACTCGGATGGATGTCTTGACTCGTTGGATGTTCTGACTCTGGTGTCGCGTGACCTCTTGGATGTTTTGACTCGATGGATGTTCTGACCCAATGGATGTTCTGGCCATAAGCGTCTCCTGCCTTGCAGAATCTCGAGTCTGGTCGTCGGCCTTTAAGCTGAAACGAAGTATAGAACATAATCAGTGTCGGGATTGCAGCTGCTGGAACCCTGTGGAGCAATCGCCGATGACAGTTGCACCAAATAGTTTGTCTAGTAAAGTATTTGGTTGCATCGCCAGACACACGAGACGCTCGCGTCAGACTGGGGGTTCCAGCGACGAAATTTTCTGTCCCGCCCGCAGGGTCCAAGTTTCGCGACCGTATACCACGAAGTGACTCCATTAGCGACGTGCACGACCAAATACGTCGCTGTGGTCGAAGTTCGCGATTAGTCGAACCATGGGTTCCCGTTTACCGATAGTGCCGGCCCTATCTCCGATTTAAGGGCGAGGAAATTTCTGCCATCACGGCGAGGACGAGGCAAATCCTTCCAATCGAGACGAGGCAAATCCTGGTCGTGACGTCACGAACGGAAACCATAAGAGAGCGCCACCGAAGTATCTTGGCGATAATAGACACTGACACCCATGGAGGTAGGAAGCTTCTGTAAGTGACATGATGAGCAAAACCAAGAGACGCTATTGGACGAAAAAGGGACAGCTCTCTTCTTTTCGTCCAATACGGTCTCTTGGTTTTGGCCATGGTTCAGGGCGTGTCCCTCCGCACTTCTGGCTTCACCTCTGGTGGCGTCATGTCGCCTCCAAAAGCTTCCCACCTCCATGCTGACAGCCAACGTTTTTAGAATACTCGGTTGGAAAACTGCCATAGGAGCCTGCTTTAAAAAAAGTGGCCCCGATTTGTACGCAGTAAACAAACTAAATGCGACCGCAAAGCCACCATTTCTTCCGCAGCGGCCACTCCACGAGCTGCGCGGCTGTGCCAGAGTATAGCATTCAATGTTTGGCTTTGATCGGCCATTTTGGCGCCGAAACGTATAGTGTGGAAGGGGCTGCCAGCCCCCGTCTCCCGAGCGGACACGCCGCGATTGACCATCGAAGTTAGGACGCGCCCAGGTCGGGACGCGCCACTTTAAATCAGCGTTAAAACGTGGTTGTATAAAAACAGCATTAATTGTGCCACAAAACCTTTTAAACTGAACTTTCACGAAAACATCGCGCTTCTGTCATTTTGTACTAATTTTCAATAAAATTTCCTACAAAAAAAAACCTTTTTTTTTCGTTTTCTTTTACCCCAAAACATGCTTTCTAAAAGCTGATGGTGGCGACAGTACAGAAAAAAAATTGACCCGCCATCTTGACGCCTCGAGACTGGGAGTTTCGGCACTTTGGGGCAGTAGCTATGCAAAGCAACTTTCACGCTTCAACTCGTCGCTAAAGAGGGGCTCTGTTGTCGTATTTAGTTTGGACTAAGTAAACGCCAGCGGTCCAGGTTTCAAGGGTGAGTTTCCTAACTGGGTATTTTAGGAAGGTTGCTGGCAGGAGAAGGGACTCACTGCGTGGCGAGTCACCGGCATCTTATCATCGCTCCCGAACGAAGGAGAATGTTTCGGCTGCTTTCATCGCGCGCGTTGCTACTCTTTAATGTTTTGGACTGGGCAATCTTTACAAATTTTTCGAGATTCCTGCCTGATTCTGTTACTAATTGCGAAGTTCGTAAGGAGTCATTAGATTCCGCAAAGTATATTTACCTTGTGGATCAAGCGTGCGGATATATCTGATACATTGCTGCGGTAATGACAACAAAACCAGAAAGTAGAGATAGTAACAAAGTGCTTCATTTCCTTGATCTGCACACTTACAATTTGTTTGTTTTGTTTTTCGTTGGATCTTACCAGGCCCCTTGATGGGTTTCCTGTGCCGTCGATTTTCCTGTAGGGCGGTGCTCGTCACGTGCTCTTTTTTCACCGGCCTGTCCATGGCAGTGTGCTTCCTTGCACCCAACGTGCTCTTCCTCAACATCTTCCTTGGCGTAATCCACGGTAGGCGGCACCAAAGACGCTACCGGAGCGAGACACCGATGGACGTCGTCGATTGTCTGTTAACGGTCTTGTCCTTCAAAAATGTTTCTTGCCCCCCCCCCCCCCCCCCCCCCCAACTCCCCTTTCTACTTTGCTATCAAACCGTTCCTGTCAACACACAATATAACACAACAGAAGAGGAAGTCAATACAATCAGGCAAACTGGTCGAAGAACCGATTCAATCGTTTTTGTGTTTTTTTTTTATTGTCAGAGCTGGCTCATGAAAATATATTGTCACCTTAACTGACTATGCATTTAAAGTCCTTTTTTTTTTACTGGAGTTTATAACAGAAATCTTGCATATTAGGTTTTCTCTCTAGGCACTGGCAGTTACAGAAGAAATTCTAGATACCTAAGCGAGCAACGTTCGCCTTCTCAACTCGCAACGATAACAAGTGGTTATAAAATCTAGTGCCGATTGCATGCAACTTACACAGCCACGCGCTGGGACCATGCAGAGGACGCGTCCGGTGCCTTGTACATTATCAGACGTCGGCAATTTCTGTCACTGTTCAGTAATTGGATAGGAGATTCAAAACAAATGTCCGCCCTAGTTTACGTTTCCTCCTTTTTTTGCGCTCAACGCTATGAAAGCTTCTGACTAAACCCTGTATGACTTATTCAACAGCCGTACACAGATACCTTTTCTCAAACAAGCAGAACTCGAAAACGCAAAAAGAAAAAGAAGCACTTTACAATAACCCGCAGGTTTATTCCAAAGAAACTACTCCAAGCGCAAGTGTTCATAACTAGTTCTAAACCTAAGTGAAATTGATAATGAAACCTCGAAATATTTTGAAAAATTCGTTTATAAAACCCTATTCACGCCAGTGAAAAGCATGAACAGAAAACAAAGACATATTTATTTAAACGAGAGATGACACACCCCACAAAAAGACACGCAGGTAGAATAGTATAAATGCAAAATACATTGAGTCCCTAATCTTATGCCGGAAGTCCCGGGTTTGACAATAAGGAGTATCTCTTATTTACTGCCAGTTTTTGAGTTTCAAATACTCGAAAGTTCGTCCTTCATAACGTGATGTGCTCCTTGTTCCCAAACAGTTCAATAGGACCTTTAACTTTAGCTTCGTTGAGACAAAGCGTTGGTATATATGGCCGAGAAATGTATATTGACCAAGTTTCGCCTAAAATTTACACGTTATAGAAACGAACCTTTTCCTCTATTTCAGGGACCTGCCTATGTGGTACCTTCGTGGGAGTAAATGTTATCCTGGCGCAGCACTTCGACAAACGACGCACAACCGCATTCAGCCTGCTCTTCACAGTCAGCAGCTCGAGCTTATTCTTTATTCCGTACGTCGTGGAATGCTTCCGATCTCATTACGGTTGTCACGGAGCTTTCTTGATCCTAGGCGGCCTTATGTTCAACGCCTTTCCCGGTTCGCTGGCCTTGCGAAGTCCTGCTTGGATATCGTCGCACGCATTGCCGCCTCCGAGGGCTGTCGCGAGCGTAGTCGACGGAGCAGCTACAGAACGCAAAAACGTCCATCAGCCACCCTCTTGCCTTCTTCAAAGTGAGCGAGACAATTCAAAGGCGGAAAACAATCAAGAAGCAGAAGACAGACCCCAAAGACACGACTCCGCGGAGCGAGAGCCGCTGAAACTTTCAGTCAACGACGACTACAAAGACCTGGGCGTCGAGACAGGAATGCCAAACATTCTGGACAGTTTAAAAAACTTTGCCGCACCTTTATTTTGGATGGACGCTCTCTCTTTTTCGACATCTGTCTTTGGTATGACGACTTTTCTACTTGTGTTGATAGACGTCTCAACGGAGCGAGGTGTAACGCCAGCTGAAGCTGTCTACATTTTTCTCCCCTTCGCCATCGCTGACGTGCTCACGCGAACACTTAGCGGCAGCGCCATTGACAGCGGGATACTTTCAATGGATTCAGCTATGCTGATTGGCTGCATCGCGGAAGCTCTATCCTTCCAGTGCATGGCATGGTCTGAAGGCTTCACCGGCCTTATGATTGGATCCTTATTCGAGGGCGTTAGCAACGGCCTTAGGCTTGCCTTACAAGCTCCGGTTCTCGTGAAAGACTTTGGTGTGGAACACTTGCCGCTTATGTTTGGCGGGATGACTTTCATCATTGGACTTGTCCTCCTGGCGAGGCCGCCGCTTATAGGTAAGTCCTCACTGCTGATGCGTGAAGAACGCACGTTGTAACAAACATCGCCACATAATTTACACTCTAAAGAAAAAGGGTATCACCTTACACCCTTTTGTCCCATATAATACACCCCAAAACTTCATTTCGACGTACAGCGCACTATAGTCGAACAGACGGCCCCAATTTTTACGAGGGGCTTGATAACGGTGCGATATAACTTCTTATATTGCTAAAGTTCGTATCAAAGACCAAAGAAAGAAAGCATGGATTTTTTGCAGAGAAAACTCGGATAATCTTTTTTGTAGTCAATAACACGTACATTAGCTATCTTAAAAAGTTGTACCACACGGCTATCAAGCCCCTCGTAAAATTTGGGGCCGTTTGTTCGATTATAGGGCGCTGTACATCGAATTGAAGTTTTGGGGTGTATTATATCGGACAAGGGGTGTACTAAATACACCATTTTTTCTGAGAGTGTATACTGGGAGGTCTAATGGCATTTTAGAAGCACCGTTATTTTCGTTCTTTATTTTTGAACTAGATGCGGCTTAGCAAAACAGAAGTGCCATAGCGTGTTTGATTTTCTTCGAAAGAAAAGAGGCAATTATGCCTGTACACTTTCGGAGATTAATCACTTCAGGGTTGTATACAGCGCGCAGCACAGTGAGCAGAGCTCGTAATTGCGTATTTTGTAAATTTTTCTTCCACGGACGAGAAGCCGCCATAAATGATAATTTGGAGGCCCCTTTTTATAGTGACAGTGGTCTTCCTGAACTGTTGCTTAAACGTTTCGGGGGAAAGCTGCGAAGAATGCTTCACACCACTTTGCTTGATGTTATAAATGTATTATTCTTTTCTGTAAAGCTCGTTTATCTTCCCAGCTGCCCTAATACCAGCTAGATTTTTGTGTTTTTTTTAAATAGGCATATATTATGATGCTTTAAGACGCAGGCAACGTTTTGAGAAAAAACCATGCTATTTTACTAATACAGTGGATATATTTTAAACCTGGCGCGATGCTTGTTGCACTGTCGATGGATAGCGAGATACAACTTGGATGCTTTGGTGATAAACTCTTGAGATAGAATAATAATTTAAGCTTCGGAGAAGTGCCCCAACATGTTTTTAACACCTCCCAAACAAGATTTGAGTCTGTCTGATCTCACAGTTTACTGTACAACGATAGCAACTACTTGACATTAGATTGCACCCGTCTATTTTCAGGATATTACCGGGATCACCAAGGAAAGTATGATGGCTTGTTGCACATAATAGCAACTTTTAACATCATCTTATCAATCGTCTGGCTCGCGAGGATTATGTTGGAGAGGTACCGTCGCAACAAGCCCACTGAACGTGCTGTACTTCATAACATTCAGAGTAACCATAAGGACCATACGAATGAGAAGTGAGGAGGAAATGCATGCGCCAAAGAAAGCAATAAACTAGTAAAGAAACCCGAATTTTCTGGCTCCCTTTAGCCTGAACTAAAGTGGCCAGTTTCTATATCTCTATACACGAACTCATCTCTGCTACGTCACGGCGCGGTCAGTGCCCGGTTACTACCATAGATCCAATGGAGTCGATTTCTGGGCAGACTGGGCGCTAAGCAGCGCTTCCGTGGTCGGAGGCGTTCTTTACTGCAACGAATCGAAGCCTCATTGCTCTATTAATAGATTGCGAAACTAAAATAAGCAGCGAAAATTATGTTCATAAAATGAAGCGCCAACGTTTTAATAATTACTTTTGACGCCGTCGAGCTAGCTTGAGCGGCTTCCTAGCCGCTTGCGAAGACGAAGCCGCTCAAAATCCAACATGGCGCAGCCCCTCCTCCGACGAGCCCTGCGGCTGCTCTCTACCGCGGTACCGCCGGTATCGCGGTAGGTTTTGTTTAAAAATTTACAGTTCACGCGTGCCATGCCACTTGTTATGGCAAAGAATTGTAAGTTCTGCTTGCCTACCTTGTGTCCAGCAGTTGACAGTCCGTTACTTGTCGTCGGCGTCTTCCAGGGAATCGAAACAGACGCAGCATTTTTCGCACTCGTTGACGCATTTATTCAGTCATTTGCATGACAAGGAAAATCAGTTTACACTGCAGCTTTAAACAAACGTTGCCATGCGGAAAAAAAATTAATAATGCGCGCAGTATCTACGTTAGCAAGAGGAGCTACAGTGAAGATACAATGTGCAACACTGTTAGCGCGAACATTACAGCTTTTTCCACTTTGAAAGGCTATCGGCGCGCACCAACTATTACTGCCTTAGTTCGCCAAGAAACTGTTTAAAGTTTCGTAAATCTCAGATGCAATTATGGCGCGAGAATATCTGTCTTCGCGATTGAAAAACACAATAGTCATGTCTCGCTAACATGGTTGATCGTTTCGGTCACGCCGCTATGTAGGTCATATTTTCGGGGTCTGATGTGTGTCCCCATACCATTCTAACTCGTCACGTTAAATAAGGAAACCCGAAGTACGTACTATGGACAGCTAGCTTGGGAGCGAAATGGATAAATACATCTTTTTATCTTTTTATTCTGGTCTCTGTAAAGACAAACGCAAAAAAAGCGGGGGGCGGGGGGGGGGGGGGGGTATATTAGTGAGGCAAAAAAGAATAGTAAAGCTCTTCTTTTACGGAATTTACCCAGAGCTGCACCATTGTCAGATATGACAATGGTGACTCTATGGTTACAATTTTCAGGGGTTTCCAGCCTGAATCACTTGCAGTTCTTTCCCTTTCCCAGTTGCAGATGACAAAATAAACAACATACCACCTTCATTGTTCATTCTTTGTGATCTTGGCAGTGATTCAAGATTGTGGATGACCAACAATATGGAGAATTGTTTTGGAAACTGGAGATGCCCATATAAAAAGAAAATACTGTAACAGTAAACAGAAATGTCTGTTTCCGTGGCATGAAAACACAATAATCATAATTACTGATATGTGTTACATAGAAGCAAACCCAGTGTGAAGTAAATATGCAGCCTTGCCGGAGAATCGTATGCAAACAGTATGTCTAAGAAGACATTTAAATGGTTATTGGTTGTGGAATCTCAAATACCAACCTGAACGTATATTACGATAAAACATCAACACCTGTGTAATAAGACAATAATGCAAAATTTTAGTGGGTCAGATAGTGTCAACCAAAACTTGAGATCTTAAAGAGTGAAACTCTCCAAGTACGTAGTTTGAATCCTAGTTGCCAAAGGTCCTGGAATCACTGGTTCGAAGCAACAAATATTTTCCCCCTCGTCCTCCCACCCTAAAAAAAACTGCCTAGAGGTTGTTGGCCACCAGCAGGCTAACAACATGTCTAAACAAAGTGGATGCTCCGAGGCTTCTGTTAGTCTATGACAGGGGTGGCCAGGTTGACCCGGTCTATGAGCCGCAAACAAAACCAAGAAACTTGTAAGAGCCGTGAGGGGGGGGGGGGGGGGAGGGGGGGGGGGGGGGGGCTGGGCTATGAATGCTGTCAACTCGGGCTTCCGCGACCTTCAACAAGGAACGATACGGAACATCCCTTGTCTAAAGGGGACAAGTATCACCGGCGAGTGACAAAGGCTGCGAGACTGAACATTTCCTCGACCCCAAGCCAAAGTGCATGCATGGTTTGACAGTCCCTGTCCTTGATGCCTTTCCCCCTAGGGTCCGGCAAACTCTCGCAAACAATGAAAGAAACAGGATCTGTGGAAGCATACGAGTGAAAAGCGGTTCGACCGTACGTAGGGGGGCACAAGGATGCCAAACCGCAAGCTGCTCTTTATTCTGAAATCCTTGGAAAACGCGGAAAGCGCGAAAGGGGGGGGGGGGGGGGGTGGTGGTGGGGGGGTTTCCTTACGAGGGATCTGCGAGCCGCACTTGGACCAGCGAAGAGCCGCATGCGGCTCGCGAGCCGCGGTTTGGTCACCCTGGTCTATGATATTTCTCCATAAAAATCGTGCAAGGAGCAACCTGCTGACGCAGTGGACAACATTGTCTCTCGAGGGTCTCAAGAAGCACAGCCAAAAGATTTCATGCCTAGTTGAAAGCTCGTGTCATTCTGACTGGTCCATGCAAATAAACAGTTAACACAATGAATTGTAATTTGGGCAAACTTATTCGTTGCTAGCTTACAGACCTGAACCAAAATCTTTAGAGACTTAATAATGTGTAGACCTAGCTCTCTGTAGACCACTTTGGTATTTTACATTTCTCTTGGCCGCGTGATGAGCTTCTGATACCTGTCGCTTGCGCCGTCAAGTTGAACCACGAGTTGAACCAGGTTTTCTTGGTGTGGCCACCGAGATCCTATGATGCCCATGGGATGAACCAGCCACTTCATTGTTCTTTTTCATTTTTGCTGTATGTGTGTTCTCTATCCTCTAAGGATCTGTACAGGACAATGTAGGAACACATTAGTTTGTCTCGTCACAACACATACACTTGCAGAAGAGAAACAGCTATGAAACATTGCATAGGGCTGCTCCTACTATCCTTTTGTTCTTGTTATAATCCTCTTTGCCCCATCCACTCTCGTTTTACATTACAGTTGATCGTAGATTAAACTGCAAAGATCACTACGGCGGAACCTAGCATGCTGATGGTTACATATTCAGCTTGATAGGTTGGCCAGCAATCAAGTGCAATTCACAAAAAAGTTACCACGGACACTACCTTTTGTCTATTGGGGTTCCCTGTCCCTGAGACTTGTTGGGGAGATTTTCATGCCTTGAGAATCTGTATGGATACACAAAAAAAACAACAAAAACAAGCAAACAAATGATGCAATTTATGCCATTTTATGTGCAACAAACGAAAAAAAAAGCCTAACGCGAGTTTTAATTGTTTTGAGGGGAGTGCGTTGGGAGGTGTAAAAACATTCGAAAGAATTACACATGGAAGGATGGATAGCACATCTCGCAATCAAGCTCTGCTGTCTGCATTCTGCCCTTCTATGCGTAAATCTTTCAAGATTTTAAAAGTGTCTTTAAAAATTAAATTATTTTACTATCCGGATTTCTATTTATTTCTGAAAGAAATAAAACGTGGCAAAACTAGTCGCAGGCTGTAAAATAATCTACAAGAGATATATTAATAAAAACGGGCAGATATTGTAACATGAACTCTGAAATATTATAAAACTGGGAGAATAATATTTGTATATAGACTACAAATTACTCGACGGGGATCTACGCTGCTGTGCACGAAATTGACGAGAGGTAGAGGAGGTAATATTAAGCCAACAGTAGTCTACAGATCATAAAATGTTTGCAGGACAGTCTTCATCCACAAAACCCCGTGCGTACGGTCGCCGAAATGTGTGCGTCCAATGAAATCACGGCGACATTTTGTAAATTTCAAAAATGAAACCATGTATTCAATTACCTAAAAGAGAACAAAACCCTCAAATGGTGCAATTTGTGGCTGGAAGATCAGCTTAGGAAAAGTTTCAATTGGGCTAAAAACTTTCAAACTCACCGCCGTCAGTTGGAATCCGAACGAACGGGTGCTTCTTGTCCCTGACGCTGCTTGGGCACGACTTCGCGTAACCGCACGAATGAGGTGGTTCAAAGACACGAAAAGCTTTCCACTTGCCCGAAAGTGCGAGGCTTGCACAATGGGATGATCGAGGCGCCGACGCTTGACGCACCGAAGGCGAGCGAAAGCGCGAAAGCACCGAGCAGATTCACGGACGCCTCCACAACTGTCCACCGGTTTCAGAACGCGCAGAGCGCAAGCGCGCATGCGCACAGGCAGCGGTTTCGTTTTAGAAACGCAAAACAAAGAAAAAAAAAGCAAAATTTCGAGAGTGTGATGTTGACACGAACTTTGAAAAAAATATGTTATATTTTAAGAATACGTAATTTGTATTTAGTGAAATAATATGCAGTCATAACTACAGCTGAATGAAGTTTGATTCATTATTGTTTTGTTTAGTTTTTAGTAATGAGCTCCTCCGATCACGCGAGCGCTGCTGTACACCTCTATGGTGGCGCCATCCGTGTTCGGGCCGCGCAACTCGCTCTGTGTTCGGAGGTTGGCGCGGTGGTGGCGCGTCGGGCGCACTTCCGGTCTGGGGCTGTGGGCGGAAGTCGTCATGGGGCACGTGCATTCCTGTGTCACTTCGGAAGAAACCGGACAAAAAACTGCCTTCTCGTCAAAACGCCGGGATGGGGCTTTACTAAAAGAGTCGGGAAAGGTTTGAAGGTCAGTTTTCATGCGTCTTCTGCCTGCTCACTTCGTCCGAGAACGAGAACAGGGGCCGTGAAAAAGGAAAAACAGACGCCGTCGGACAACGCGATTTCTTAGACAGGAAGCAATTTAGATTGGATTCACGGATAATTTCGGTCGTCAGATTTTGTTTTTTGTTTTTGTTATGTTCCAACATGAACGCGGGAAAACCGTCAAGTTGCACGGACAACCTGCGTACTAAACGGCCGCCTCATCGTTCGAGCTGTCACCTGTGTTGGCGCGT